TATCGGAAAAAAGTAATACAAAGTAATTTATATCAGTATTAATCCACAAGTGATACACAGGGGGTACGGAAAGGGGGGTATCCTATTGTCCGGGGCAGGTATGGGGGGCACCACTGGCGCATAGATTAGGCACTAATCCGTTTGGTATCACTACTGGTGGAGCTGTTGTACAGTGTGTTTGTGAGGAGACAATGCATTTGTGCAGCGAAAACATTGCGATACTCTCTCTCTCTCCCATACACTCTGTGTAACACTTTTTTGTTGAATGCATTGCAAAGTCGGTGTGTTTTCTATGTCTGCGTCAGTCAATGAAAGTGCCTTTCGATCGCACATTGAGTTCACTAAATGTGATCGTATTTCCAGTTTTATAATCACTTTTTATTACAGTTTGTATTAAATTATTCATTAATACATAAACACAACGTATTATTCACTCCAAGTGTTCACTCGTTTTCTCATATGTTTTGTGCCGTTAATTGTGTTGTGATTTAAAACTCAATTTACGAATTGATATTCAATTCATTTGATAAACAATTTATTTGTTTGTATTGTTTTACTAATTAGTCTTTGATTTGGTTTACAATAATAGCCACTGATTTGAATCGTAAGTCTGTTTCAGACATCGCTTTGTATATTGTCTTCAAATACCAAACCATTTGTTGTCTTAATTATTGTCTCATTTTGTGTACAAATTATTTGATTGAATGAAACAAAAGTGTGTTTTATTGTGTTTTCAATGACTCATTGTTTTGTTGTTTCGTTGCAGTTGTCGACCAAATACTGGATCTATTAGTTAGTGATAACTGAAGAGCACGTGATATAAACACCACAATTGTTTGGATACCTAAGAGACGATATGAGCGGTAAAAACGGGTCGAAAATGTCGGCCCAACAGAAGTCTCAGTTGATCTCAGAGTTGGCCGCTTCGGGCGAAGACCGCAAACTAATCAAACTGTTCGCCGAACACATCGCGACCACAACGAGCCTCAACTCTATGACATCGATGACACTTCAGGAAGCGCTGCAAATGGGATCAGACAATGAGAATGACTCCTCTGACGAGTACGACGACGACGACGAGGAGGAAGAGGTCGACGGTGTGTCCGATGCGGACGACGAGGACAACGATGACGACGATTACGATGAAGAGGAGGACGAAGAGTCCGACGACGAAGAGGTGACAGACGGCCAACACATGTGCGCCGACTGTAAGTGCGCGGCGAAGAAGCAAACGGTGCCAAACGGCGTCGCGTCGACAGCAGCGGCGGCCGCGACCGCAGCTCAACACTCGGCCAAGAAGTCAAAGAGTGGGGCGAAGAAGTCGAAGAATAAGGGATCCGTTGACGCGAACGACGAGAACACCAAACGTTTTGTCGAGCGTCTCGGCCGAGAGGACAGCCAATCGTGCGGTTGCGACGACTGCGTGAAGTACGCCAGCGATCGCCAGACGGCCGACGATATGGCCGTTAAACTCGTGGCCGACGAGGAGAAGAAGAAGAAGAAATCGGAGAAAAAGAAATTACAGAAAAAGAAAAAACGCGACAAAAAGAAGG